AGTTCAATTACAAATTTTAGATATCTGTGGTTAAAAACTAATCACATTTCAGAACAAATGCTAAGGATTTTTGTGTGGATACTGTTTATGAGTTATAAAAATAAAGTGAGGCATTAGCTAAATCATGATACATCTCTAAAGTCAAATATTTTGCAGTCTACACAAATTACATTTTAGGAAAACATTTTATAATGTGGGGAAATGAAGAACTTGAACAAAGTGAACTATAAAGTAACATGGGCACTGTGATTTAATATTTAGTTTAAGAAAATATGGAAACAACCTAAGTGCCTACTGACACACACACACACACACACACACACACACACACACCCCTCAACCATTCAATCAAATTCTGCTTTTTGCAACAATGTAGATGGGACTTGAAGGCATCATGCCAAATGAATAAATCAGAAGGAAACTTACACAGAGTATCAAAACAAAAGATAACAAATTCATAGAAAAAAACCCTTGGATTTTGGCTTACAAATGTAGGAAGAGAGAGGGAGAGACAGAGGTAGATGGTTAAAAGTTACACACTTCCAGTTATAAAAAACTAAGCACTATGGATATAATGTAGAACATGATAGCTCTAGTTTACAGTGCAGCTTATATGAACATTGTTAATATAGCCTAAGATTTCTCATTCCGGGAAATTTAGTTTTGTTTTTCTTTTTTAATAATGTCTCTATAGGAGAATGAATACTAACTAAACTCACTGCAACAATCATTTCACAATATATTTGAGTCAAATTATTATACTTACAGGTTAATATACTTAGACATTGATGCAAGTCAATTACATCTCAATAAAACTGGGGGAAACTTTGTTAAAAAAACACATATATGCACTGGAAGAATATAAATCAGAAAACAAAGAAAATGGCATTTCTTGAATAAGATAAGGATTTTATATTTGAAATTTGAAATTCATTTTTTCCAAATTATCATCAACATCCATTATATTAATGGTAAAAGAAATCAAAATCTTCTAAAATAAAGACAATTCTAGGCAAAGAGAATCTTTGGAACTTATGAGACAGAAAACTCCGACTCTGGTTAAGAAATTTGTGACAAATAACTACATATTTATGATGCTAATTTGTAATAATTTCCAGTTTGTTTTCTTTCAAACTGGAAATTTGGGGTTCATTACAGTGCACTGAAATTACCCATTATGAAAAAAGCTTTTGTTTTAATGTATAAATTCCAAGTTTTCTAAGACTTAAATGCAATGTTCTACTATTATGAATTAGTGGGGGGGAATCTAAAACAAATAAATGTATATACAGTATAAATATATATATGTGTGTGTGTGTGTATACAGATATATGTACCACATATATATTTTGCATTGATTTAGTTCAAACTGTCTATGCCTGGATAAGCAAACTAAATTATAATGATTTACTCTATGAGAATATAGCAATAGGTCTTTTAAATTCTTTAAAGTTATCATTTATCAAAGTACAATTATAAAGTTTGTGACAATTGAAAGGGAAAATAAGTATGATATTACGTTATTAAAGCTGTTATTAGCTATACCATAGATCAGAAAATATGGTTTATGACTCATGAGTTGACAATTGTTTTCAAAATTCTAAGTGTTTGGGAAAAAATGAAAGGAAAATCATATTTCATGAAATGTGAAAATAATTGAAATCCAAATTTTGCTGGCCACAAACAAAACATTCATGCAATATAGCCACACTCATTCTTCTGAATTTTGTGTATGGCTGCTTTTGGACTACAATGGCTTCTAGAAAGGACTTTGACATGCACCCATGGGTCTACAAATCCTAAATTATTTAAACAGTAATCTACAGAAAAAGGTTGGCTCATGTATATGAGTATGTTTCTAATATTCTTTGTATTTCATGCCATCAGTCTCTAGATGGCAGAAAAGATCCTTAAACTAGTAGGGGGAGCTTCTGGTGAAGACCACGTTCCCATAGGAGGAATAGGAATGACAATTACACTCCCAATTAGATCATCCCCCCATTTCAGTCCTTCTAACAGTACAAGATATTTTTCCTATTTGTATTCAATAAGCCAAAAATGAAATATCTAAAAGAAAGCAAAGGATTAATTTAGTCTAGACTAATTTCTGGCTTAAAATTTAGCATTAATTCACACCTGCCTAAAATAAATCATATGTAAATATGTGCCATTAAAAAGCTTCTTGACTACCCCCACCTCAGTTTTCTAGAGAAATAATTAACAAATGAAATTATATTTAAAGTATACAATCTGATGATTTGATATACATATGTGTGTAAAGTGTGTGAAGTGATTACCTCAGTTGCTATTAACACACTAATCACTTTGCTTTTTTGTTGTTGTTGTTAAGGATATTTAATATTCACACTCTGAGGAGATTTTAAACAACAATACTATTAGGTATTAGTCACCTGGCTTTCATCAGATCCTCAGACACTATTTCTTTTATAACTGAAATTGTACCATTTTACAAATTTCTGCTTATTTCTCCTACCCTATTGCTCCTGCTAACCAGTCAGGGGCATCAGTTCTTTTTCTTTGAGAACAACTTAATTTTTATTTTATTTAGCTTAGATTCTACAAGTAAGTGATACCCGGCCATTATTGTCTTTTCCTTTCTTTGGCTTATTTCACTTTGTTCAATGCCCTTGAGTTATAGTCATGCTACCAATGGTAGACCTTTCTTTTATTATGAAATTTAATACTCCATTATATGTATATACCACATCTCCTTGGCCCTTTCATGCATCAGTACACACTAAGGTGATTTCCATGACTAGACTCTTTAATGTTTATATCTTATTGAACTTTCAGTTTAAGTTAGAATTCAATAGGGTGTGTGCTTGCATGCTGGGTACTGTCTTACTTCAAGAGAATTTAAGGTTTAGAACTTGATTGACTTTTTTGTAGCACTGAATGGACATACACAGAGACTACCTTTTATTGTGACTGTATTTTATGCAAAGATATAAAACCAAAGCTAATACATTGCCTCTTCATAGTTTACTATTACATAAAAAAACACATTAGGGTATCTTATAAGAAAGATGCCAACCTATAAGTTGATGTGAAAACATTCTCTTTCTTTTAAAATACAGATGCCTCAACTCTGAACCACAGCAAAATGTATCTATCCCACTTCCCAAAGGCATCAGAGAGAGTTCTAGCACATTCTCCCTCCCACTTTTACAGTCTCTTACTATGTCTGTTCCCCTTTCTTTCTATTTTAACTTTCAATTAAGAACTTTTCCACAAAGAGAAGTTAAAATAGCACAATATAACCTTATGCCAGTCACCCAGTTAAATAATTTAACTTCTGTCACACTTAAATTTGTTTATAACCCAGAAGAAAGTTGCAGACAATGTGATATTTGATTCCCAAATAATTTGGGATGTATTTTTTTAAAATATTTTCCTGCATCACCATAGTACCATCATGAGCCTCAGAACTGGAAATAATTCTATATTATCAGCTAGTAGCCAATGAGATTTAAAATTTCCCATATTTAACCCTACAATGTCTTTTAGAATGTGCCATTAAACTAAGATGCAATTAAGAGTCATTTGCTCACTATGTTTCTTTAATTTTTAAAATTAGAACAGCTTCTGCACTCACTCCCTCCACATACACTTCTTTTTCATAATTCTGATTGCTGAGGAGACCAGATCATTTGCCTTGTAAAATCCCCATTCTGGATTTTTCTGAATGTTTGCCCATGGGGTCAATTAAACTGCTCATATCTCTATTTCCTATAAATGAAATATTTTAAGAGCTTAACAGTAAGATGCTCTCTACTGCACACAGCATTATAATGATATGTATAAAATGTTGAGCTGTCCCTAAGTAATGTTATTTATGATCAGTTTCTTGACCATTGCAGACTTGATTTTTCTTTTACAATCAGCAAATAATTGGTGAGGTCTTTGTCATTGTTGCAAACATCCTTTGTCCTAATGGCCTTTTAAAGTGATAGTTTCAGTTTGTGGCCAGAATCAAGTATTTCATTAAGAATTGATAAATGGTAATTTTCTAACCATTATTTCTTTCCCTTTCATTAGCTGGCACTATCTTGGAAGAAGATTTCCCTCATTAAGAATGGTCTACAGTTCCTTTTAAAAAGCCAGAGTAAATGCTGAATTCTTTACTTTTATTCCTCATTTTCACAAAAGGGAGTTAATGTAATAGTCATACCCAACTGAAGGAAACTGGGTCTCTATCTCTTACATTATGAAATAGATTTCTTTTTAAAATTTTTATAATCAGTTACTATTATTTTTTTCTCAAAACATTTTCATATAGTATTTTTAAAGTGTTAAAAGTAACATGTTATGTTAGAGATTATTTAGCAAAATAAGAAAACAAAATTAGCTAAAAATCTATCCTTCAAAGATCATTACCTGTATATATATATATATATATATATATATATATCTTACAGACAAAAGCTATCTCACTATATTTCTGCTTAGTAAGTTATTTTTCCAAACAACATATATTTTTTTTTCTTTTTCAGGCAACCACCATTCTGCTCTCTGTCATTATAAGTCAGCTTGTATTTTCTAGTATTTTAGACAAATCGATTATTCATTATAATAAATAGTTACTGGTTACCAATAATAATTTTATTTTTTTTCCTGTTCAATTTGTTCTTTTTGCCCTCTGAGAGCTCCCAATAGCTGTAATCTTTGATACAATGTTATTACATGTGATGTAAAATATTCTTCCTGAATTTCTACAGATGAGGCCACGTGTCTACTCTACTTGGTACAAAGAGGAGTTTTTCTCTTCTATGTCTCAGCAGCACCTCTGTCTGAAGAGACCTTCTAGTTTCTTCCAGATTTTGAGATCGCTTCACTCAAAAAATTGAAAGCATTAGACTACTTCCCCTCCATGCCAAATCTTTGCTTAGCGCAGTCACTGGTATGAAGAAGAACCATACAAATCCAATATATGCACATAAAGAAGGGGACATCCCATGAGGTATCTTAATTTCTCTTACCTAGCATAGTAGTCATTGGGTGGAACTGCTTCTTGAAAGAATTGGAACTGGTATAAATAAAGTCCAATCAAGTGTCCCGCAGTGAAAATCGCGAGCAGAACACAGAGACAGCTGAAGATCAATGGATCAAATGTCCGGCACCAGGACCACCAAGTGCACAGACCCAAAAATACAAAGAAATATACTAATGAGGTCAATGATGGTAACATCATACCTATGGGAAAAGAAAATGGGATCATGAATAACTGCATTGAAGACAAGGTCTTCTATCACCCAGGGTATGAAACTACTGGGAAGTGTCCAAATTTCCTTCATATGATTTAGGTATTCATCAGTTCTAAGCAGTACTAATCACACTTTACTTATAAAATCAAAATAAATGTTATTTTATTCTGAGTAAAATTATGCATAAAGTGATAGTTGTAAGTATGAGGAAATACCAGATGATAAAGGTTGAAAAACTGGACTATTTGTTTGTTTTTTGAGAAATCCTGTTCACTTTTGACATTTGTTCCTATTAGAAAGAGTTTGTTTCATCTTGTGAAATCTCTCCAAGCAATATGGAATGGACTTCACTGTAGCTCTGGGGCTGTGCTGAACACAGGAATGGAAGGAAGGAAAACATCAAGATAACGTTATTATGGAATAAGCAATTTGTAGCCAAAATTTAAAGGAAGTGAGTGTCTGTGCTGGAAGATTGTAATCTAACTAGGAAGAAAATAGTATATCCTGGAGAGTTAAATTAAGATTACTAGTGACACAATGTAAACACAGCTCTCCGAAGGTACATGGACAGGTCTGGATGGGGTCTCTTACTGGAGCAGAGCAACATGCAAAGACTTTGAGGGAGAATAATTATTTTTCTTATTTACATATAGAAAATGACAATACTTAGATATGGGAAAAGACTGATTTCACAGAAGTTAACAGAAATCATCTGAAATCATAAAAATTTGAACTGAACAGGGAAAAAAATGTATTGCTCTCTGTGGTTTGTACTTGTATTTATATGCATATAGAAAGAGAGAGAATTGTTTCCTTCTTTATTTCCTCTTTAATCTTTTCTGCTATTGTTGACCAGAGAGCCACTTGTACCGTACCCTGCATCAGAAGCGCTCACCTGACGAACCCAGTAAAATGGTCACAACAACTTTCCCAGCGGTGGTTATCATGTTGCCAATAAACTCTTTAAGCTTGGAAGCCACAGAGGCAAACCTGCGAAACATTTTTAATTTTGCGCTTTCTTCCGGCTCCTCATCACCACCATCTCCTTCTTCTAATTCCTCTTCATAGATCAGTGCCTCTTCTGCATCTAGCTTTTCTCCTTCAACCTAAAGAAAGGTAAAGAAAACACAACAGTCCATCACTCTACTCCTCTGTCCAGGAGATTACATGCCTGTTGTCTGTGGCTCAATTTCACAAATCAGGAGAAAAATGCAGACCAGCACATCAATGTCCCCAGACCTGAGTCTCCACATAAGCCCAAGGAAAGGAATCTTTCTTTCCTGAAGAAATAAACAGGAAGTGTTACTAATGATAGAGCACCTAACAGAACATCATCTTTCCCACGTGTACTTTTTTTTTTTTTATGGGCAGAAAAAGTAACTGCCTGAAACAACCATTAACAATCATATCATTCATCAATCTGGATTTCGTTCCTCAAATTTATAGTTTGAAGCCAACGTTGTAGGAGGCTTGATGAAAGAATACGGCTTTAACCAAAGGGTGAGCCAAATCAGTGCTTTCTGTCTGAAGTCTTTGCTCACTATTTTAGTATTTCCTGACGATGGAGGGGGAGCTTTCTTGGGTTGCTGGGCTAAATATATAAGCATTTCCTATCTTTTCTTTCATAGAAAGCATACTGGTTCAATCCGGGTACCTGAGGACTCTCATTGAACATTTAGGACAGAAACATACACAGTACCTGCACCTATTTCCATATTTTATTTTAAACTGAGTATGCTAAGGTGTTTTCATTTGCTTTGCTTTTAAACAATACATGGGAGGGCTCTCCCTGGTGGCACAATGGGTTAAAGCACAGCATTATGAAGCTCTCCGCAGCCACCATGCCATGAGTTCGATCCCCGGCCAGTGAAGTGACCCACATGGCGAGGCAGACCTCTCCTGACCCGCCTGCTGCTCCCCTCAGCAGTATACTTTGTTAATCTGCCTATTCTGTTCCCCACTCTCTTTGGTGAATCCTCTCACCCACCACACTTCTGGCCTATACTCCAGTTATATAAACATAAATAAATAAATCTTTAAAAAAAGAATGTATGGGAAATATTTTTGCTAAATATAGCCATTCTCAAGGAGGGCTAGGTTTTTTTTTTTTTTTTTAGGAATTATGGGTAAACCATCCCTTTAAGACAAAAAGAGTCTATTTTAGATTCATGAAACTGCTTTCTCCTGTCCTTAGGTCCACAGGCTTCACAATTTCAGGCTGATTCAGGAGCCCACAGCTGAAAAACTCAGGTGTTGGTGAGTCGGTGATATTATCTGGAGAGCAAAAAGAGATAGTCTACCTGCAGGTGTGGCCACACATGGGACCAGTCTGTCTCTGCCTCCTTATGTTAAGGGGAAGGATGTCCTAAAAGAACTCTGCAGAGTCTTGTGGGCTCTATCCCCTCACTCTGGGCTACCCTGTAACACTTACACACCTCTTTGCCTAGAGCCCGTGAAGAATAATCATGTGGAGAGGCAGGAATCCGCAGGATCCCTGGGGGTAGAGTGGGGGGTGGTGAATCCTCTCTCAGCTATGAAGCCCAGCTCCCACTTCAGCTCTTTCTGCCAGCTAATGCATCTCAGACCACATTATGCGGGCATCAACCTCCCTCCCCCCATCATTGCCATCCATATTACAAAAGGCCTGATGTTCAGGCATCTGCTGGTTGCTGTCCCCTCACAACAGATGAGGGACACAGTGAAACTCCTTCTCAGGAAGGAAGTTTGGCTAAAATGTTCAGTCACTGCACTTGAAAATGGAGACGGCGAGAGAACACAGCCATAGCCACCTGGGTCACAGTCCAAACACACTTGTAACTTTCATAATAAATGACTTATTATTCAATTATAGAATTGCTACGGATGTAGATTAAATCAAATAGAAATCTCTGGTCAGGAACCTTTCCGAGGTCAGATAAATGCATTTCTCTGACCTCTTTTCGGTGAGATGGAGGCTCCTGTGAATTTTTATAAACATACCACTGTACTTGAGGTTTTTCAGCATTTTTGTGCCAGAATCCCTGGGGCCCTCAGTTGGAAATACTTTATGAAGCTGCCAAGCTTAGAGAGAGCGGCAGATGAGACAGGTTCTGCTCTGGGAGCCCCTGCTGTCCAGGCTTTGCCAGAGGGGCCGTTCAACACGTCATCCCGCTCAGTGCCTGCCGGGATTGACTTTCTCCCCCTGCGCAGTCTAGCCCTCTGGAGAATCACAGCCGCGACACCCTGCAGCAGTGTCCACTCACCCTCGAGTGTGCTGGGGTCATGAGCTGTCCCTACACTGGCCTTGAAACTAAAAAGGAGTAGCTGTAAATGAAGTTTTAGTTCTTTTGACTCCTGAGCTCTGTATACATTAAAGTGAATCGTTGACAAGTCAAGCAGCAAAAAATATTTAAACACTGTTATTGCTCACATCAAAATCTAAAACTTACTGGAAGAAATACTTGGTTCCTTAGTTTCTTCCTTTAAAGGTTATTGACACTGGCACTTGTGTTTACCGAGGATGCCATGCGTGGCCTGGAGACCACACCCCATGCCAGGCCTGCATCTGAACCTGCCTTTGAGCAGAAATGCCCAGTGGCCCCTACATCTCCCCACACTCAGGGCTCTGCCCCCACCAGCCAGGGCATTTTGCAGTCGCTTCCACTCAGTTTTTGATAGGGAAGTCCCAATAAATTACTTTTCATAAATCTCTCTAACTTCCATCTCTCTTTACTCTCAAACATTAAAATATTAAACTGGGCCCTCCCTGGTGGTGCAGCGGGTTAAAGCACAGCACTAAGAAGCTAAAGCCACTTCCGCATGAGTTCACTCCATGCCCTGGAGGTGACCCACATGGCGCAGCAGACCTCTCCTGACTCTCCCGCTGCTTCCCTCAGCAGTGCACTTCATCAGTCGGACTGTTCTGCTCCCCACTGTGTCTCTGGTGAAGCCCTTGCACCTCTGGCCTGTACCCCAGTTCTGTATGCATAAATAAAAAAATAAATAAATGTTTTTTTTTTTTTAAAGATTAAACTTAGGTTGGAAGAAATCCAAAGGATCACTTGGCAAGCTTCAGCTGACACATTTCCTGGCTCTACCTCAAACTTCAAAAATCAAAAATCAGAGACTCTGGGAGTGCCCCCAGAGAGCTGTGTGATGCAAGAGCCACTCGAGTAAAAGTGAAGAACCGTGTAAAACCCAAGCACTGGCCACAGTTGACTCACCACTTCCACCAATATCAGCTAGCTCTGCCCTCAGCTGACTAGGCAAGAGTCAAAATGCTGCGTTTGAATCATATCTTAGGCAGCCTCTCTTGATCTGAAAATATATTGAATCAATTTGTCTGTGAACCCTCCTGCTGGAACCTCCTGCCGGCGACAATGAAACTTTAGTAGTAAGACCAAAGCTTTTCATGCAGGGGAGTCCATTTTACTCTTTTTCATAGTTAAACCATGTTATTAAAAATATTTCGCTGGGAGTTTATCAAAGTCACTAATCATTAGTCAAAAGATGTGGAAGGCAAAGAGTTGTTTATTCATTGTTTATTATTAAAAGTTAACAATTTATCCTAGCAGAATGGCCTCATCTCAACAGAAGAGCCCAAGAAAAAGACAGTCAAGTGTCTGTTTGTCATGAGCGATGGCTCATGGGGGAAGAGGAGCACCATCCACAGTGTTACCCATGAAACCACAAGCAGCCGTGGTGATGTTTGTGTGCAGGGTGGCGCCGTGCAGATACAGCCAAAGCTGCATTCTGTTGCTACACTTGCTTCAGGAAGACTATTTTCCAAACTACCCTATAGAAAGGATAGAGCCATTGAAATAGTTCCCTTTTTCATATGGATAAGTGAGAACGTACATGTGTGTGCTTTAACTAGAATGTTCAGAGAGAAGGAAAAGCAACTTTAGTGAATGTCAGTGATTTTCGCGAGTGCACCAACTGCTAGAGCCTTTAATTATTTGTTTTATTAAATAAGATTTATTTATTTATTTCATAGAAGAACTGGGGTATATATAGGCCAGAGATATGAGGGGTGAGAGGATTCACTAGAGACAGAGTGGGGAGCAGAATAGGTGAATTGACTGAAACACACTGCTGTGGGAGCACAGGGTGAGGCAGGAGAATATGCTGCGCCATATGCAGGTTAGCTCCCTGGCTGGGGATGGAACTCAGGCATGGAAGTGAGAGCTCGAAGACTTAACACCGAGGACGCTGGGGAGGCTTTTAAATCAATCTTAGTACCACCACACATGGCTACTGTTTCTCTGCATCCCAAAGAGACTGACTTAATAGTTCTGGGGTAGCCCTACATCAGAACTTTTAAGAAATGACAGAGTTAGAGGTTGCCATAGTTTTGGAAAATCATCTGAATATCAACTGAAAAGGGAAATGAATGAGTCAAATTGGATTGACATTTTTAAAAGGATTTTTTTCATTAAGATTTATTTTTTTTAAAGTCGTTTTATGGAATTAATTCATCTGAAGTACAACACATACACACAGAACATACATACATGGTTGTAATACAAAGCCCACACATGTAACCAGCACACATATATCCAGTGCATACATATACACATGCACACACATATGGACACAAGCTTATCTCTGATAAGAGAGATTATTACTCACCATGACCCATTTTTTCATGCAGGAACCAATTAAATTTAGCTCTTCTAAAGGACACACCCTGATGTTCCCTCTACACATGAAGAATTCAGGGAGTGATAACAATAGCAGCATCTTGAGGGCACAGAAACCCTTCTTGTTCAAAAGTTCCCTAAAAGATTCAGGACCCATATAATTCTAACAGTGCATTAAGATGAAAACAATGTTCTCCCCTTGACTATTAAAATAGCAGGAGGCTGGCTGTGCCTGGCCTGCTCTGGAATTCATTGTGCTCCTGCCTTGCCCATCCTTCTCCCTCCTGACAGCACTTCCTGAAAGCCCAGTTCTGCCTCCAGCACTGTGCTGGGACACAAATGCAAATCTTCCTGACATTCCAAAGAATCTGCAGTGACTCAGGGGAAATCAACCTGGCATTATAGTCATTTACCAAATGAGAGTACAGATGCTGTGCACACTCAAAGGAAGAAGGGATTGCACCTGCCTACGGGGATCAGGAATG